TTTCTTTATTCAATTGGAATGGTCATGGATGACAGTCACATTAAAAAATTAACACTTCTATTCCTACATTGATTGGTTTTCTATGGAACTCTACGGAATTACTGACAGGCTCAGCTACTTGGCTGTAATCAATGCCTTGATCATCTTCTCCTCTGGTAACCATCTTTTTCGAATTTGCCTTCAATTCAATCAGAATCTTTGTGGGTGATTGTCTCAATAAAAAATTCAAATATGGTAAATAAAAGGTCAATTGAGTTCTACAATGTGTATGCAATCTATTTATGTTCTTTCATGAGCTGTACAGTGATCTTTACTTTCTAATGATGTGTGGTTCTCATTATCTGGCTATCCCTTTTTTTTCCTCTAATGCTAGACTATTATTTCCAGAATTTTCTCAATGACTTCTTTTACCGACTTCAAATCACTTCTTTCACTGACTCGGATACCAACAATAATGGTGTCATTTATGATGACAATTTATATTTATTAAAGTAACAGTTGCCAGCAAAAACAATATTGAATTGTAGCTCTGTCATTAAGCTGAATATCTTATATTCTGATAACAATTTCACATCAAATCGCACCATTCATTTATTAGATTTAAATATGGTCATTAGGCATTGAATATCTTATTCAGAAAAGCTCACTTAAGCTTTTGGGCGTAATAGAAGATGTGTTCATGATATGCAAAATTTCTTATCAAATTAAATGCTTTTTGTTGTGATTATGAAATAATTACATGATTCCAACAATGGAAACTTACATGGTTGTTATTGTGGAGCCCCTTTTTTTCCCAGCAATTGAGACATTCTCTGTGAACATTCCCAAAGGAAAAATTCTGTCGAGGTCTCTCTCCTCTACTTTCAGAATCATACCATTAATGTATACGGTTTGTCCAGCTCTATTGAAATAAAATATTTTTTCATTTCAATGAAATATGAGAAAAGTTTCCAGAATTTGAGAAATTCTCAGATAATCATATTTCTTAAAATGGTATATATTTATACAACCAAATTTACATACTGATCAAAATTTGACTTCAATTGTTAGCAAAGTCGTCATCCTCCTGCAGAATCTGTAAAGAAAAGTTCTGTATATTTAAAAATTGCTGCATGCAACTTTAATTGCTTTAGATAATGAAAATTTTAGTACCAAGTGTATTGGTAATGATCCTCTTGTAAGAATCTTGAGTCCCAATAGCTGCATTAAATTTGCAATGATTGTGCAGTGTGAGGCATTTATGGAAGTCCCACATCAGAAACATTTTCAATTTTCTTGTGCTTGGTCATTGGTGAATTATTCACACATTCGTTTTGGATAGATTCACAATATATTCTCAGAAATTAAACAGTGGACATCATAAAATTGGAACAAACATTTAATAATTGCTAACAGTCCACTTCTGTCACTAAGGTAACTGAAAAACTTCAATGCATAAGCAAAATGATTCTTATGCACTGGCCAGTAATTAATTACTTTAGAATATTGTTTGAATTCTATTAAAAATTTTCCTGCAATAATAATGCAATTAAGAATTTTACAAACCTCACAGGTTGTGTTTTTGGTTGAATTTAATGAATATTTATCCTTGTAAATATCCACAGACAGACATTTCAGCTTGACAATTTCTCCTACAGGGCACTCTTTGTTGCTTTCCTCATTCCAGAGTTTAACTTCCACCACATTTCCGTCTTCTTCAATTGAAATGATCTTTCTTTTGCTGACTTCGGTTTCCAGCAGTGGTGACACCTGAAATGATAAGATGAAGTCCATATGGGAACATATGATCACTTTCGTTAAATTGAAAATATAAATAAATTAAATGCTTTGTTTGAAGTTTTTTTATGTATAGCTTTGGACATTTTATGTATAACTTTATTCTTGCTGATCTTGCAGTATATTTTGCTCCCGCCCCACCCCAACCTCATGAGCTATGCTGTAAAAATGAAAATATTAGACTAAATGTTTTTTATGTATAGCTTTGGACATTTTATGTATAACTTTATTCTTGCTGATCTTGCAGTATATTTTGCTCCCGCCCCACCACAACCTCATGAGCTATGCTGTAAAAATGAAAATATTAGACTAAATGTTAAATCAAAGGGAAACTATTGTGGCGCATTGCCATGCCCTTTTCTTCAGTGCCATTTTTGTTTCAGTACCTTTTTTGTTTTTCAAAGCAAAAAATGAAAGCTGACTAACTTCTTTTTTTATTCAGTGCATGTTACTTATCTTTTATTTAATGCATGAGATGGTATTTATTCAGGGTGTCAAGTGTACCGGACCACAGGATACTACTTCTTGCTTGAATGCACACAGCTGATAAGATAACTATCCCCAAGTGGTTACGAAGATTTTGGTAAATAAACAGGGCAGACCCCTTGATTTTGCAACCACATCTACTCCTTAAGGGTTACCAGTGTACCACCTTTGATAAGTTCTCAAGATTTTAAGCAAACAATATCTTTTTATGTTCAATGTATTTTGAACCTTGACTTTGTGACCTCATCATAGCTACTTCTTTTGAGGGTACTACTGTCCCAAGTTGATGTCTGGTCTTGGTGTAATGACATACTGACAGATGCAAACCAATATGCCCCTTTTTCAGTGGGAGGCATAAAGTTTAAGCACAGTATCTTTAAGATTTTGCAAGAATTTTCTTCAATATTTTTATTAATCAATATTAAAGCACATGCTTTGTTTTTCTTAGTATGTAAAGGACTACAAATTAAAACTTAAATGTCAAGTTGTATTAGATGTAGTTTCATGGGGGCGTGGAAATCGGAGGCAAGGAGCACTCAATTTCTACACCCCATGAAACTGTATATCCAGGAATACAAGACTTTTATGATGTAAACAGTTGGTCACATACCTGACAAGACGCGTCAGAGTTACAAATATTTGGTTACATTTAGAATACCCCGTCTTAGGTTTAATTATAATGCAACATGAAAAAAAATGTGCCTTAGGTTTCTTTTTTCTGAGCCAATCTAAAAATATGATAAATAACTTTCACATTTTTTGCATATGCCTTTAGAAATACACTTGTAGTTGTCTTTGTAGCATAGTGTGTAGTGTGGATTCATCCTATTAAACTAACAGCTTAATGAAGTCTCATAGTTACATGTTCATTTCCTCATTTTTACCTAATTAGGAAATGTGACATTTAAAAAAATGATATCAAAACAAAAAAACATGGAGAACAAAATATACAGTCAGTGTGAGAATTTATCATTATACATACTTTCTGTAGATTTTAATATTAGCCTTTCTGAAAAATAATTTAACATTATATTATTTTCTATATACATATATATATCTTTGTGTTAAATATGCATCTTCCACATTTTTTTTTTGAAATAAAAAATATTTCCCCTCTTTTACATAAAATCTCCTGAGAGTAGTCTATATTGTAAAGAATAATCTCTAGTGGAGTATTTCTTATATTAGTCAGACACAAGTTCAGTAATGGCTGCCATTAATAGTGTGCAATAAAATATGTTTTTATTTTCATCTTCTTGTAAATTTTCACAGTTCTTAAAGTAGATAAACTTATTTAAGATTCCAATTTCTGCAGGTTTTATGATGCTATTATTTAAACAAATAAGGTTTTATTTCTGATATTAGTCAGACCTTTCATTCAGTAATAGCTGCCATTACCAGTACATTTTTATCTGTTTTCAAAGTAAATCTACATACTTATTTAAGACATTTTAATTTTTGCATGTACTGTGATAAAAAAACAAATGGGATCATTTTCAGAGAAATTAAGGGGAATAATACTTGTTTTTTATTGATCACAATATCTGCCATAAAAACTTTTAGGGTCAGGTGGTAAAATGTAGGGACAGTTAAGTGACTGGAAACAAAAGTATATATTTTTGGCCTTACTTATAGCTATTTAGCTGATTTAAAGCTACAGTTTCCAATCTTGAACATCTTCTGTTCTAGTTATGGTGTCAGAAAACCTGCTCTTTCTTTATTCAATTGGAATGGTCATGGATGACAGTCACATTAAAAAATTAACACTTCTATTCCTACATTGATTGGTTTTCTATGGAACTCTATACGGAATTACTGACAGGCTCAGCTACTTGGCTGTAATCAATGCCTTGATCATCTTCTCCTCTGGTAACCATCTTTTTCGAATTTGCCTTCAATTCAATCAGAATCGTTGTGGTTGATCGTCACACTAAAAAATTCAAATATGGTAAATAAAAGGTCAATTGAGTTCTACAATGTGTATGCAATCTATTTATGTTCTTTCATGAGCTGTACAGTGATCTTTACTTTCTAATGATGTGTGGTTCTCATTATCTGGCTATCCCTTTTTTTTTCCTCTAATGCTAGACTATTATTTCCAGAATTTTCTCAATGACTTCTTTTACCGACTTCAAATCACTTCTTTCACTGACTCGGATACCAACAATAATGGTGTCATTTATGATGACAATTTATATTTATTAAAGTAACAGTTGCCAGCAAAAACAATATTGAATTGTAGCTCTGTCAATAAGCTGAATATCTTATATTCTGATAACAATTTCACATCAAATCGCACCATTCATTTATTAGATTTAAATATGGTCATTAGGCATTGAATATCTTATTCAGAAAAGCTCACTTAAGCTTTTGGGCGTAATAGAAGATGTGTTCATGATATGCAAAATTTCTTATCAAATTAAATGCTTTTTGTTGTGATTATGAAATAATTACATGATTCCAACAATGGAAACTTACATGGTTGTTATTGTGGAGCCCCTTTTTTTCCCAGCAATTGAGACATTCTCTGTGAACATTCCCAAAGGAAAAATTCTGTCGAGGTCTCTCTCCTCTACTTTCAGAATCATACCATTAATGTATACGGTTTGTCCAGCTCTATTGAAATAAAATATTTTTTCATTTCAATGAAATATGAGAAAAGTTTCCAGAATTTGAGAAATTCTCAGATAATCATATTTCTTAAAATGGTATATATTTATACAACCAAATTTACATACTGATCAAAATTTGCAGCTTCAATTGTTCCAGCAAAGTCGTCATCCTCCTGCAGAATCTGTAAAGAAAAGTTCTGTATATTTAAAAATTGCTGCATGCAACTTTAATTGCTTTAGATAATGAAAATTTTAGTACCAAGTGTATTGGTAATGATCCTCTTGTAAGAATCTTGAGTCCCAATAGCTGCATTAAATTTGCAATGATTGTGCAGTGTGAGGCAGCTCTGTATGGAAGTCCCACGCCATCAGAAACATTTTCAATTTTCTTGTGCTTGGTCATTGGTGAATTATTCACACATTCGTTTTGGATAGATTCACAATATATTCTCAGAAATTAAACAGTGGACATCATAAAATTGGAACAAACATTTAATAATTGCTAACAGTCCACTTCTGTCACTAAGGTAACTGAAAAACTTCAATGCATAAGCAAAATGATTCTTATGCACTGGCTAGTAATTAATTACTTTAGAATATTGTTTGAATTCTATTAAAAATTTTCCTGCAATAATAATGCAATTAAGAATTTTACAAACCTCACAGGTTGTGTTTTTGGTTGAATTTAATGAATATTTATCCTTGTAAATATCCACAGACAGACATTTCAGCTTGACAATTTCTCCTACAGGGCACTCTTTGTTGCTTTCCTCATTCCAGAGTTTAACTTCCACCACATTTCCGTCTTCTTCAATTGAAATGATCTTTCTTTTGCTGACTTCGGTTTCCAGCAGTGGTGACACCTGAAATGATAAGATGAAGTCCATATGGGAACATATGATCACTTTCGTTAAATTGAAAATATAAATAAATTAAATGCTTTGTTTGAAGTTTTTTATGTATAGCTTTGGACATTTTATGTATAACTTTATTCTTGCTGATCTTGCAGTATATTTTGCTCCCGCCCCACCCCAACCTCATGAGCTATGCTGTAAAAATGAAAATATTAGACTAAATGTTTTTTATGTATAGCTTTGGACATTTTATGTATAACTTTATTCTTGCTGATCTTGCAGTATATTTTGCTCCCGCCCCACCACAACCTCATGAGCTATGCTGTAAAAATGAAAATATTAGACTAAATGTTAAATCAAAGGGAAACTATTGTGGCGCATTGCCATGCCCTTTTCTTCAGTGCCATTTTTGTTTCACCTGTGTCGTACCTTTTTTGTTTTTCAAAGCAAAAAATGAAAGCTGACTAACTTCTTTTTTTATTCAGTGCATGTTACTTATCTTTTATTTAATGCATGAGATGGTATTTATTCAGGGTGTCAAGTGTACCGGACCACAGGATACTACTTCTTGCTTGAATGCACACAGCTGATAAGATAACTATCCCCAAGTGGTTACGAAGATTTTGGTAAATAAACAGGGCAGACCCCTTGATTTTGCAACCACATCTACTCCTTAAGGGTTACCAGTGTACCACCTTTGATAAGTTCTCAAGATTTTAAGCAAACAATATCTTTTTATGTTCAATGTATTTTGAACCTTGACTTTGTGACCTCATCATAGCTACTTCTTTTGAGGGTACTACTGTCCCAAGTTGATGTCTGGTCTTGGTGTAATGACATACTGACAGATGCAAACCAATATGCCCCTTTTTTCAGTGGGAGGCATAAAGTTTAAGCACAGTATCTTTAAGATTTTGCAAGAATTTTCTTCAATATTTTTATTAATCAATATTAAAGCACATGCTTTGTTTTTCTTAGTATGTAAAGGACTACAAATTAAAACTTAAATGTCAAGTTGTATTAGATGTAGTTTCATGGGGGCGTGGAAATCGGAGGCAAGGAGCACTCAATTTCTACACCCCATGAAACTGTATATCCAGGAATACAAGACTTTTATGATGTAAACAGTTGGTCACATACCTGACAAGACGCGTCAGAGTTACAAATATTTGGTTACATTTAGTCATTTCAGAAGTTGCAAGAAAACATGTTGAACCTATTTTAATTGAAGGATTTTAGTTTAGAAATGTAATAACATAACAAGCATAAGAGGGTTATGTATTTTTTGTGTGTGCAATATTGCATTGCCAATATAATTGTTAATCCCTGTAAATGAGGAAAGAAAAGACATATTATTTTCTATATTTATAATTTTATATCTGTGCATAAAAATATTTGCATGAAGTGGTTAAATGCACTAAGAATATTCTATTTATCACACTGTGTTTTCCATTTCTATTATGATTTGGCATAACGGTTCAAGGGAAGATTCAAGAAGATGAAATATTTATAAAGTTTACAGTCAACACATGATAACCAGTAAGCTGACAGATGTGACTGACTGCTTATGTTGACTTGGTGCAAGGCAAAGTGATTGCAGTCTCTTCAATGTTAGATCTTTCACAAATTTATGTGTAAAAAGATATTTTTACACAGGATTCTTCCTCCCAGACTTATCAGTTTTACCAAATCAACTGCACTGAGGAGCCAATGAGATTTCTTAGAGGTCACATATTAGTTAGTGGTTATAGGTTTCTCTAAGTGTACAGATGTGAAATTCTTTTTGTGTTTTACTAAGTTTACATTCTATTAAAATCCAACCTCTGTATGTCCATGTGTACCAGTAAATTCTCAACTTCTAATCAGTACATTAACATATATGTAACAATTTTTTTGTCATTTTGTTAGGATGGGGAAGGTGTTTTCACACAACTCTTTCATGTATGATGCAGTTTAAATACATACCTTCGTCACAGTTCCTTTAATTGACACCCTGTCGCCCTTTTTCAGGGCTGTCAGTTCTGCTACCTTAACCAGCTGTGGATTTTTCCACTGGGTGACAACCGATTGGTTAATTGTGGGCCTGGCTGTGTCCATACTCCATTTTCAAAGAATATTCATAAGTCGCGCTCAGAAATCGAAAACGAGGCTAAGGTCGGTAAAATTGTAAACAAAATGTCGGCGGCTGAGGAGGAAGGGAAGGGTCACGACAAGCACTGCTGTGTGCCATTCTGTAATGGAAATGGCAGGCTTAACCCAGATTTATCCTTTCACCGGATACCAAAGGCTCCAGAAAAGAGAAAGGAGTGGATTCAAGCGATTAGGAGAGACCCTGGTCCTCTGTTTACCGTGAGTGACCTTCCGATACGTGTTTCAAGAACACGTAAACAATGTCGATGCAAACTGATCAGTGATCTGCACTTATATAAACAGATATATATTATCCCTTGGTTAAGAGTATATTTTCATATATTTGTCAGAATATATGTGGAATGACATACTATGCAATGAACAGAAATGTCATCTGATGCAGAGGCATGTAAATCGAGTAGACTAATGCAAGTCAGTCAGCTGTTTATTCATGTTGAGCTCAATGTCAGCTAAACCTTTTTCGCATAACTTTCTGTAATCATAATAAAAATGTTAAATCTAGTATAAAAATTCGTTAGTAGATAAATATTAAATAATGAAAGTGTTTTACATGTGAAGATTGGTACCCTAGTTTCTTAACTTAAAAAGAAATCACATAACTAGGATTAGGCTACTTGTATTTACAGTATCTTACTGTTAGCAAGTATCATTAACCAGTTCACCATCTGATATCCCTAGATGCATCTTTTAATTTATATTGCTTAAAGTTATGTAATATGCTCCAAAATGCTTACTGCTTCTAGTTTATGTCATGCAAGTAATATTTCAGTGTAAAATTCATTTCATTATAATTATTCAGATAAGTGATGAAACAGTTGTCTGCTCTCGCCATTTTAAAAAGGAAGATATTAAGTGGACTCCAGTGAGGACAACGTTGAAACCTGGGTCGGTACCCTCAGTTTTCTCCTGGAAGGCGGATACCAACAGTCGACGCCCAATAGTTAAACACACCCTTCCAGAGAAAAGACCTAAGCAGGAATTTGAGGATTCAAGTGTGAGACCTGAGGAAATGGATTCTACTCCATTGTTAATTGAGGATGGGTAATTTTCATAGAATTTTTCAAGAGTAGCTAAAAAAAGACTTGATTCATATTAATCTGTTGTATAGTAAAATAAACATAGATTTATGAAATATATATATATATATTAATTATGTAAAAAGTACATTTCTAATTTTGGTCAGATTTTTTGTGATGTACGTACTACAGGTCAACAGAACAAAACACCATTACATGTACAATACTACCGGTAAAACACAATATTAATACATTTTATTGAAATTTCTAATGGTAAGTTTATACCGTGTTGTTATAATATTTATTTGTGTACAACAAGATGGTTTAATTAATATTGTCTAACTCTTACGTTTTAAAGCATAAGGTGACTACATTTTTTTAAAAATATGCATACTGATGGAATATAGACTTACAATCAGAAGTTTGAATTTTTCAGGAGATGTATCATAAAGTCAAATTTTACATGAATCATTCTCAGAAAAGTTATTCTTTTGTCAAACTGATTACTTGATATATTCAGTTTGCAATTGTAATCAACTTTTTTGAATGATTTAACTTTCAACTGCTGCTGGACAGTAGAATGCTGGTCATCATGTCAGTAAGGTATGATTTTTTTTCATGTACTAATATAATTTTTGCAGAGTCTCTTTAAAAAAAATCTCATGATTTTAGTTCTCCTCCTCCTGATGAAATACATGAGAAGAGTAAGAGAATCCAAGAATTAGAAAATTTGTTGCAGAAGAGGGATGAGGAAATCAAGACTCTACAACAGAAGATTGAGGTTGAACGATTTGGAATTCAGCGGTTTTCAAATGACGATTCAATGATTCAATTTTACACAGGATTTACTACAATGGCTATGTTTTTAGCTTTTTTTGAATACATCAAACCTACTGCAACATGTATGAAAAGCTATTATTATAAATCTTGTGATAAACCTAACCAGCAGGTAAATGTAGGCAAACAAAGAAGCATGTTGTTAATTGACGAGTTGTTCATGTTCTTATGCAGGTTGAAGTGTGGTCTAATGGCACAAGATTTAGGAGTCAGATTCAATTGTCATGTTTCTACTGTTAGTCGAAAGATCATAACATGGGCAAACTTTCTTTATTTTATTTTAGGCAGCATAAGTATCTGGCCTAGTAAGGAACACATTTATGAAAAAATGCCCCAGTCCTTCAAGTTGTTTTACCCCTCAACTAGAGTCATAATTGACTGCACAGAGATTAAAACTGAGCGTCCATCATCCTTAGCACTTGGGTCAAAATGTTATTCAACATATAAGAGTTCACACACATGGAAAGGGCTTGTAGGAATCGCTCCTCATGGAGCTCTCACTTTTGTGTCCTCATTATACACAGGGTGCATGTCAGATGTTGAAATAACAAAATTATCTGGCCTACATGATCTTATGGAAGAAGGTGACTCAATTATGGCTGACAAAGGGTTTGTGCTGAACAAGGTATTAGAAGGTACAGGCATTTCTGTCAACACCCCTCCCTTTCTTCTTAGCCAAGGTCAGTTTTCAAAGCAGGAAGTAGAACAAACACAAATTATTGCAAAGCTAAGAATACACATTGAACGACATATTCGTAGGGTCAAAGAATACCATCTCTTTGATGGTGTCATCCCATTGAGTATGACTGGTACTATAAATCAGATTTGGACTGTTGCTAATATGCTGACTCTGTTCAGAGGTCCTCTTGTAAAAGATTGGTGTAAATGAAAAATTTTATCAATGTGAATACAGGACATATATTTACTCAATTTTGAGTTCAGGGTGTAAGCTGCTATGGTATTTATGATGTCAACTAGTAATTAAATTCTTACAATGACTGTTTTTATTGTTGATTAATCTGATTTCGGCTGAACACTGTAGATTGGTTATTTTTCTCAAGATAATTTTTTACTTCTTGTGATAAGGGAGGGTTTTATATATACCGGTACATAACATATCCTCTATTTTTCAGTTTTTATTCAGTAAGCCATATTGGCCCTCTGTTTTTAATATAGCTGTACAGTAAAACATACTTATAACAAAATTCCAGGGACAAATTTGTTTCAAATTTATAATATTTGTCAGTATGTAAACTATGTTTCAAAACCAAAGGGAAAAGAAATCAATTTGCTGTATGTGTGAATTCATTAGTCATCATTTTATTAAAAGTGTATTTGCTATAAGTTTGTTTTACTGTGCATGATAAAAAGTATTTTAAAAATAAGTTTCAAAGATTGTTTTTATTCAAGGAAATAGTTAAAATAGAATGAATCAATCTTGTTTTTCATTTCCTGCCACTCTTCATTATCAAAGGTAATCACCTCCAAATGGCTCTCGTCACAGTGCCACACAAAGAAATAACACCAGGTAAGACCTGTCACGGCAAGCTGCATCATAACTTGGTGGTAGTAGTTATGGTTTTCCTTCAGTCTCCATATATCCCCATCCTTCTTCAAATAAACACACTCTGTTAAGGGTTTTACAGGGCACTTTATCTCCAGCAAACCATAAGGGGGGTTCATAGTTGGGTTGTATACCTTCCTGTCTGGGCTAGCAGCAAGCCAGGAAGCATAAGGACTGACAATGATTCCACAAGGGTATATGTTGACATTGTTGTTTTGCAACTGCAATTTAAGAAAAAATTAATAAGATTTTAAAGATATGATATAAACAAAATACATCATACATGAATCTAACATCAGTCATGCATAAATTGTGTTACATGTCCAGAATCTTGTGAACATGTATACTAGTGATTGTATTATGCTACATCTTTGATAGATAGATTAACATTACTTACTTGTACAAAGGCTTCAGCAGCAACTGCCTCGAACGACAATCCATGTCGCATACTCTCTGTGACGACTTTTCTTGTTGTCTTCAATCTTTTAATCAAAGGTCCAAAATCTATAAACAGAGTACATGTATATACAATAATTTCAGCTTACAAATTAAGATTTATATTTGTGCAAAGAAAATTCATTTTCATATGAAATATGTTGGAAATACACGTTTATGTAAATTTAAATTGATGCAAATATATATCAAATATTGAAAATGGTTTTGAATGAGGTAATGTCTGCATAAACCATGATAAGATTTTGTAAGGTAACACCTTACCTGCTCTACGCTTCACAATATCACCAGAGACAGATGCAGTTATCCTCTTCTTGCGAATAGCATGCCACTTGGGACTTTCTCCTTGCAACCTTGTCATTTCCTCAATTTTATGGCACTCCTCTTCTGTCACATATATAGCAGACAAACTACCACTTTTCTTTTCATCAAGAATCACATGCAGTTGTTGTTGCATAACATTTTCAACAGGAAGAAGTGGAAATTCACCAGCATCTAAAATATTTAATACATAATGGGATGACAGTTTTTGTTGCACAGCAAGTGGAGATCCTTTTGGAAATTTACCAAACTTTGTTTCTGTATATTTCAAGTCCACTTTGTCATCCAAATTCACAACAGTAAGTAATAAAGAAGTCTTGTCAACTGCTGAAACTCTGGAACAAAGGTCAGAGATCAGTGAGATATCAGAATTGATTGGATTGTACAAAGTTGATCGTAATCCACGGGGTTGTTCTTGAGGTAATTTGGAATCGTAACCATGTACAACCACGTTGTCCGCAGTGCTTCCAGAGATCTTCTCTCCTCGTGGGAGATGCCAGGTCTGAGGCAGAGAAGTCTTCAAAACATCAGATGGTATGAATGTCATGTTAACTGATTTCATGTGCGCAAGACAAAATAACAGCCCAGTCACATGCCCGCAGTGTCCTGACTGTCCAATTGTACACGAACAAGAGCTGCTGTCCACACTGGGACCATCCAGCAGAAAAATCTATAAAATGTACCACAGCTTGTTGAACAAAACTGATAACTCGTGCATAGAAAAAGTAGATGCAAAGCATTGTTATCTGTCACTAAATTTACAAATCTTGATATCAGTTTTTTTTTTAATTAGACTTACTAATTATACATGTAATTAAACATCTTACTGATCTAAACTAATTTTTTTTTCTTACCTCAATATCATGAGGGGATTCATTCCTGCGCTGTGACCTGTGGCATTTTCCTTTAACTACACAACCGTTTACTGCACTGTGAACTAAATTAATTTAGGAAAATGAATAACTTTGTTGACTTATTAGTTTATGAAGATTATTATTCATAAATATAATTTAAACGCATCTTTTTTCCCCTTCATTGTGTGTATAGATTTTTACACTTGACCATCGTACATATCATGATCATAAGCAAAGTGAAAGTTCAAACGGAGATATTTATACGTACTTGTGATGTTTGTTACATATCTCTCGGCGAAATATTTATATCCTTTAGATATTTCTTTTTCTCCGAGACTCTGACTTCCTTTCTTTATGTAGCTCTCGACAAATCCAAAGGTAATATTTGGTACTTTTGTCAAGTCTCGCGATGCAGACGCTTTTTTCTCCTCCATCTTTGTTTGTACTCGATACGACCTTAGCCTCGTTTTGAGTTCGATATGCATATTCATGAAATCTCATTAAGAAAGGAGTATTAGCTATTAATAATTTTTTTCACTTAGTACATTCATAAAAAATATTATTATTTGAAATTATACAGATGTTCATTATTTTCATCATAAAAAATTGGCATTTCATATTCTGGAATTTTCATTTGAAATAATTTGTGAGCATCATGTATATTATCGTTATTGATTTTATATAGCAGGAAGAACATACTTTAGTAGCCTCTGTCATTTTCAGCAGTCCATTCTGAAGCAAGAGGTAGTCAACTACTAAGTAGCAGCTGTCTGCCCTTATCTTTGGGAAGATGGCCTCATTTGTTACGATTAAGTCATGCACACATCCAAAGTAGGTCTTGGCACACAAAATGCTTGCCTTGCCATAGATCCCTCCATCTTTGTATTTTCTAATTTCGATGTCTTCCAGGATGTAAATCTTCTGTGCAGTTGCAGACTGTATCTGGTCCTTTTAAAACAGTAACATGATAATGTTATCTCCTATACGAAGGTATATATATGCAGTCAAAGTTATATGAAGTAAACAATGATATAAAATTTAATATACTGTATGATTCCTTTGTAATGACTGTTAAAATTATATGATTTAGTAAGTCTGCAGCATTGATATCTTCTAATATTTCGTTACACTTAAGGTAAGGCAAATAAACAAATTTTGATAGGAATAATTTGAATGAGGAAATATACTTTTGATACGTTTAATATAGCAGATGCAATAATTTTCAGATTGTCCTTTAAATGTGAGTAATTGGACAAATCAGTTCTTTCAGATAGATCTAAACATGATTACATGTATTGATCTTTTGTGCGAAAACTGAGTCTTATTGTTGCCCAACCCCCCGAAAATCATAATTTGAAAAACGTTTGAATTTACACTACCTGAAGGTGCTTCCATATTAATATGACTACCTATAATTATGTCTTGCAAATGTTGAGAAGAAGATTTTGAATTTTTTTTCCCCTATTATTCCTATCACGTGAAACCATTAATCACTCATTGTGGCCCCACCCTATCCCGAAGTCATGATTTGAACAGTATTGAATTTACATAACTTGACAATGCTTGCATCATATCAGTATGACTTATCATACCTTTTCTGTTCTGGAGAAGAAGATTTTAATTTTTTTTTTCATACATTCCTATGTTAAACTATATGATCTTCTATTGTGGCCTCATCCTATCTCTGGGGATTATGATTTTAAAAACAAGAGGCCCAAGGGCATAGAATCACTCTTCAAATGAATTGTACAACCTTGTCACTTCCATTCTAAGCTTCTTATCAGTCAGGGGCATAATGCAAACAGGTTATTTTAAAAATAACTTAAATAAGTTATTTTACACACACGAGGAAATTTTTGAATAATAACTTAAATAAGTTACTATGATTTTAAGCCCATTATTATCCTAAATAATGGCAGTGTTTTCCCCAGGCCATTTTTGCATGGCGGGACCGCCATGCATTCACGATCCCCCGCCATGCATCACATTTTGCCGCTATGCTTCCCGCTATGCATAAATCATTAATAGAGTACCATACTTAGTAAGATAATTTATGTAAAATGTTATCAGTTATAAAATTCATAAACAAATCCTCGCATGTACAAGTTGCACACCTGTCGTGAATTCGAGTGCGTATCACGGCACGGGGTATGATGCTATAGCTGTCAATTTATGCTTAGCATGGTTACTGCAATTTATTGGTACTGTTCAGCTTTCATTTTTGATAAAAATGTTTATTACAAGGAAAAAATAATTAACTGCTGTCGGATAGTGCACACGGTCAAAGTAATACACTTGTAAATGCACATGTGGGTGTTTCCAACCTATACAGGTCATTCTAAAAATAGCATAAATGTTCCGACATTAGCACACAAGCTGCAAAGATTCATTAGTCAAACACATAATTATTTAGCCATCATTCAGCATAAAAGGCAAGCTGAAATTAATGATAACAGAATTGTTTATTTACTCTGTGAGCTTTCGGTAAACACTTCGACGTAGCGCACGTGCTATACACGACATATTGATAATTCTGCAGATCAAAATTTTTTCTGCAAGAAAAAAAAACAAAAAAAAACAAAAAACAACAGACACCAATGTAAATGCATTTTACAATGCGTTGTCATAATATTTTTTTAAGTTATCACGGGTGGTTGACAATGTGCACACTTTTGTTTGAATGATGACTGTAAAAGT